ATCCACCACCATCTGCTTGCCCTATGCTGCTCCTGCTAGTAGACCGTGCGGAAACGTGCAAAGCGAGCCGAGCAACGTGGACAACCCACCTCGCTGTCGATGCGCACAAAGCGCTGGCCGTAGGAGCGCAGGAGTTCCGAAGTGTCGAGCGCCGGCCCCGAGGCAGGCTCTTCGCCGCGCAGCTCCAGGACCTGGGGGTGCGCGCGGGCACGTATGTGAGCGTGCGTGCGTGTGCGTGCGTGGGTATGTCGGTGTGCGCGTGTGCATGTGTGTGTTTGCACATGTGTGTGCATGCAGGCATCTGCATGTTGGTGCGTGTGTGTGCGAGCTGATCGGTGTGTCTGTAGGTGGAAACGACAGTCACATGTGAGCACAACGGCCCAAGTGGCAGACAAGCCGCTTTGGCTTGCTCCCTGCTGCAGCCAGGCATGCTGTGCACGGGGATCGGGATTGCCCTCGACGGACACGCACCCCTGCAAAATGCAGCGCGATGGCCACGTGCACGGCGTCGCCGCGCAGCGCCTTGGCGCTGTCGTCAGTGGCCATGAACCTGGGGCGGTTGAACCGGGGATGAGCAGTGCCATGGCGTTGATGAGGCAGTGGTGTGTTGGTACGTGTGTGTGGGTGGGTGCATGTGTGTGTATGTACGTGTGTGTGTGTGGGGGGGGGGGGAGGGGGCGCTGCACAGAGTCGAGGCGTGCAGCAAGGACGCCCCCGGCTGTCGCGCAGCTGCCCCTGCCTGGGAGTCGCGCGGTAGCGCATGCTGCTGCGCTTTTAGGAGCCGCACGACGTCGGCGCCTGAGTTTAAAGAGGCACTCGTCATCTCGGTCACCCCGCAGAGAAACTTGCGCACTCACTCGTTGTGGCTCACACGAGAGGCAGACATGCAACTGCGAGCACGCGTGCACGTGCATTCACACACACACACACACACACACACACACACACACACACACACACACACACACACACGTATACACAACCACGCAAAAACACGGGTGCGGACTCAAGCACATGAACATGTACATGCACACACGTGTACCGATGCACAAGCACGTCGTTGCTCACTTGAGTGCGGCCCTGAATTGGCAGCTGAGCAGCAGCACCGTCACATACAGCAGCGGCTCCGCGCCCTCCCGGCTGTAGTACTTGGCCGGCCAGCGGTTCAGCTCGGCCTGCAGGTCAGACAGCCGATAGGCTAGGGCAGCGGGGGGGCAGGGGGGGATGGGTGGATCGTTGAGAGGATTGGTATTGTTGCCGTGGTGGGGGCTGAGGGGGTTGATAGTGGTGTGAAGTTGGAGGGGGGGTGGCAAGGAGGATGGCACGGAATGAAAGTGTACGATGAAGAGGATGATTGAGGCGGGGGTTGGCAAGGGGGAGGCAGGAGGAGGGGGGGGG